GTGTTACTTCTAAATTATAAACATGACTGTCATACTGTTATAGGGATGAATGGTGGAGAATTTACCTCCAACACTCCATTTGAGGAATATGGTGTCTCTAATTAGTAAGGAAATAGCATGGCTGCTGTATCCTAGAGACGAGGTATGTGCATGGGGCTAGTCAGAAGAAACAAAGAAAAATACTTTCTTAATTAACCTTTAGTTTATTTTTCTTAGTTCATCTTTCTTTACTCAATTGTTTATAGAAGGTGACAGCAGTGGCAGGAGAGGAAATAATTAAATGAGATTTTTGTTAATCCTTGTGCTCTGTCTGAAACGCTGCTGCAGCCTACAAAACACCCTGACAATTTGCATACTCTGCTCTTTGAGCATTTGCAGATCTCCCATGTTGCTCCTTCAGAGATAAATAGTCTTGCTAATCGGTTGATTCAGTTTCAGATAACATCATCCTTACCAAACACCTTGTTAAGTGGGTGAGAATGAATTAAAGATTGCAAAACTATTTTTGTGTGTGCGTGTGAGAGAGAGAGGGGAACTCGCATTCATGGAGAATCTCGAAGCATTTTCATCAGACTTAAAATTCAAAATGACTCTGGTGCTCTTGAAACTACTGCCCAAGGACACATTTTGTAAAACTTTGAAAAAACGGTTTGTTCTTACCAGAGCTGTAACCTGAATATGAGAGGAGTCATAGTTGTACATAAAAATCTTTTTTCCTTCCTGTCCACTTCAGCAACACCGCAGGAAAACAAGATGCAAACCAAACAAACAACAATAAAAGAAAACAACCTTCAGCAGTTGAAAGAACGTGAAAGGTTGGAAGGGACTTAGAAATTCTTATCAGCTACAGCGGTCAGGAGACTGTTTCTGCATTGTTGCTCTTCTGTATAACCAATTGGGATAGGACACTGGTAGAAAACTAAGGTGTTATCTTCATTCCTCCCTTTGGAAATCCTTTAAGCCCAAGTTCCCTTCCAAAATGAGAAACGTTTCCTGCTTTGCCATTGTCAAACACAGTGAAACTCTGGGTATCAGAATTTTGCATGCTTTTTTGAGCATTGTTTCTGACCAAGAAGCATTTTGGAAGTAGGACAGACATGTCTGCCATATGTTAGTACTCTGAAACATTACAATGCTGGGCAGAAATGAGATTCTCTTCTGCAAGTAATAACAGGTGAAGTGTTATATGCAGTAACTTGCTGCGACTGAGCTAAAAGTAGGTAGAAATCAGGGAGCAGTTTTTGTCACTTTAGGGCTCGTTTTGTATGCACTGAAGTTCATGAGTTGTATGTTAATTTTGAAGGGTATCTTGCAGTACTTACAGGATAACAAGACAAGTATCTGCAATGCTGACTACATGACCTCTCAGGAAGTGTTATTTACCCAATTCCACTCTGACAACTGAGTTGCAGTTCTTATGCCTACTTTGCTGTCTTAACTGCAGTTAATGTGCTCCTGAAGAGCATATTGTTTCTTCTTAAGCTGTCCACCTCTATATGAGGATTGTTCTTGTGCTTCCTTGACCTGCATGACACATGCAACTTGGAAAATGCCTTACCTTAAAAATATGTTTACTAGTTTAACCAGGGATGCTGACAAATTATCCTTGTTTTCACTTCAGAAATAAAACTCTCTGCTTATGATTCTTCTTTTTGCTGGTCATATTTTTTTTGTAAGTCATGGGCCTTTTGAGATCACTGCACATGAGTAGGTAACTGATATTATGATTAGAAGAACAAAAAATAACTTCTTGGACATGACAGAGATGCTGTATGCATGTTCAGAGCATTGCTGGTAAGGATATGCTTCCTTCTCTAAGCCCTGAAGTTTTGGAGGGTCACAATGAGAGGACAAATGAGCCCATGTTCCTTGAAGAAAGCAGTCGTGAGCTGCAAAGTCTGCTGTTTATCGGGAAATTGCTGCTTTGTTTTTTGTATCTGTGCTAGTAATGAACCCTGTCAGTACTCATCCACAGATGTAACTTTAAGTGCAACTGTCTTTGATCGATCACACTGCAAGGAGGCTGCTTGTAATTCCGTTTGTTCCAGTTTACATACTAGACCATCTCTTGGTCACATTATTTTTATTTTGGAGGGAGTATATAATAGATAATCTCATATTTATAGAAATGATTTTATTTCCAGCCTCTCAAGACAAATTTTATTTATTCAGTATTTATACTTTATTCAAATGAAAGTGATATATATATTTTACACATTCGACCTTGTATCAGATAGCAATCCTTTCCCTGCTATACAAGTCTGGTATGTTTTCAATCTCCTCTTCTTTACTGATGTAGACACTGGCAGCAAGTTTTACAAGCTTTTGTTTTATTTTCTACTCCTCTTATATGTTCATACTCAAAATCATTTCAAACAGATAGTTCAAACTATGAACTATCTTTATTCTGATCCATATGACAGTGAAATTATACAAACAGTATTTACTGCTCTGAAAAGCTTGAATAGCATCCAGTGGAGGATCAGCTTCTCTGGTAATAATTCCTGAAGAGAAGTGGATTACCCTTTTCATAGCTTAAGAAAAAAACTTAATATTGATTGAGAAATTCACAGTCTTTTTTTTTTTTTTTTTTTTTTTTAACATATTCAGTCAAAGAAAATAAAGGCACATATAGGTCATTTTTAAGAAAAAAATATAAATAATAGGAATATTTCTGGTTAGTTTGATTTTTGTGATATATTGAAACATTTAAACTTCAACATTGCTTGGCTACAATTTTTTTTGCTGCAGAGATTGATGCGTTACACATTCTCAGTGTTCTATAACACAATACATCAACTTATCAAGCTGTTCTAGAGAAACAAACTGTGGCATAAAATTAAAGCACCACAGAGACAGTACTTAAATTTTTGCCATATGTGTGCTACATCTTCAAGTTCTGGAAGTAAGCTGAGGAAATCTGTTTTTATACTACATTTAAGAAAAGAAGAGTATTATTTACAAAGCAATGCACTGTATTTATTCTAACATTGTTCTTTGCAAGTCTGTACTTATGAAATAGAGTGAGTCTTAGGCTGTGGATCACATAGGCTGGAACACGATTATGTGGCTGGTAGGCTTTTGGGAAGGCAGGCTGCTATCTTCCTACCCTTTTCAACAAAGGTTATGTAAAACAAGTAACAGTAATCAGAAAGCAACATCTGAAGTCTTCTTTCTCATTTCCCAGAGAATATAAATACATTTTACACAAGAAGGGAGAAAATAAAACCCTGAACTAAATTGTGAAATATGACATGAAGGTAGTAAATTTTATTAGCAATTGAATTTTTAAACTTTAATAGTAGAAATTTCTAAACGTGCATGTCTGTGTTACCAGCCCAGTGCAAACACTCCTACAGCACAAGTTACTTCCTGGCATAACACAGAGCTTTGCCTAGGAGCAAATGCAAAAAAAAAAAAGTGTTTATGGTGAGTCTTAAGGCAGACAAACCATGAAGGATCCAGCCTGGCTTTGTGGAATGATCTGTTGATGAACTGAGAAACCAACGTTTGGTCTGTTTTTTCTTATGTCACTTGCACCATGGGGGAGATGAAAACAAAGAAGTCGAACAGTGATGGCTGCCACAGCCTACTTTTTAAAAAAGCTTGTCAGCTCTTCATGCCTGAATAATAATCCAAGCAGAATGAATGGGTACACAGGTTCTAAAGCAATGTAACACCCACTTGAAATTTTAAAGCTCCTTTTTCTACAATGCTGTAAATAATGAGAATTTAACCAGAATCTCCTGACAGTATGGTGCACAACTGTACACCTACAAATGAAAAGCATTCACTTACACATTCTTGGGAAGAAAATCTGCTGGATACTTTGCAGGTACCCATTTTTTTTCTTGACTTGTGAAAAGCAGACACAAATATTTTGAAGAGCAATGAAATTATGCCTTCACAATGAAGCGGCTTACGTGTTCCTTTAATTTGAGAAGCTTGTAGAACAGAGTCATGAAGAAATCATAAGTACTGTACATTTCAATATAATTTAACTAAAAAACAATTCTCCTCATGCAGCTCATTGAGAGACAATAACAAAGTGACTAGCAGAACTTCCAAGTAAAAGTGAATAGCAGTGAGTCAGGTGGAGCTTCCATTCTTGCAGAAACTAGTGGTACTTGTTGGACTGTTGAATATTATAAAGAAGTTAAATTATGGCTTATTGCAAAAGCTAAGAGGGTGAAGTATTATCAAGAAAAATCACTCATTTGGTTGCAGAAACTTTCTTGCCTAGGGGTTTTTAAGAGTCTGGATTGAGGACAATGTCACCAGAGCACATATGTTCTTTCTGTGGTAGAATTTAGGATATCTATTTATTTATTCAAGCTAAAAGGCTAACAACGTAATTCACCTTTCATGGGGTGAGCAGGCTGACATGCATTGGTTTTCAACTATAATTAATCAACTATAATTTTTGTGTAAGGACTACATAAAAAGATGTGATGTCTATTGATAAAGTGATTCATAACATTGCAAGCTAGTAGATTGAAAACATAATTAGGCTATTTTGTAATTATGACTTCCAGCATGAGCTATTGCTTTGTGTTCTCATGATTGAGAGACAAAAAAGGCTGTTTTCACAGCATGATCCAGAACCCCTTCAGATGTGCTCTGCTCTGTGACCCATGGCTGGGTAGCTGATCCATGTTGTACGTTGTATCATCATATAACAAGAGCACACATTAACACTTGGCTCAGCTAAAACTGAATTCCCTAAAAGGTACCATAAAGAGTCATCCAGGTGATGTCAGTGTGCCGTGACATCACTGTCACCTCCGCTCTGGTCCAGGCATGGTACCAAACAGATTCTGTGAGCTGCTCCCTTAAAAGCACTGGTAGTTTTGCACTTCTGTTCAGGATTAGGGAGCAGAGGCTGATGCTGTGAACATATGCAGTTATAGCAAAAATGCTAAATCACAGCCTGAAGGAGTGATTGAACACCTGGTGGGACGGCAGGGCCAACCCAAGGGAGTTCAGGTGTATGCAATGTACCTGAGTGACCATAAGAGCAGGAGCCAGGATCCACCCCTTCCAAGACCTCACTAAAGGGGAGGCAGTGGAGGTAAGGGGATCTTGCTGGAGATCCTGTGTGTGTGAGGCCTTCCATAGGTAAGCAGATTCTTTCCTTTCTGAGCCCGTGGCTGTTACCTTTGAGCAAGTTCTTGTTTGCTGTAGCTTAGGACTTTGCTACTCTGCTATCATTACTGCACTTTCTATCACCTTACAGTGGTAAAGAAAGGGAAAATATAGGATTGCAGCTTTGGTTTGGAGAGAGCAGAAAGATATAATCAGGGTCTTGAATTGGGAGAACTGAGACTATGCTCAGACTTGTGTGTATTTCTGGGAGGGAAATATACATTGCTATACATATCAGACCATATGCCCCATGCATAATAAGCTTCATGCTTCTGAGAAGTGACAAATGTAATGCAGATACAGATTAAATCTGCTGCTTTGCAGTGTCTTTATCAATTTGTATCTTTATACACTGGTTTCTAAATACACTTCAATTATTGTAACTGGGAAAACTTGTAAGAGGAAAAAAAAATTATAAACAGTGGAAAAATGTTTTAGTGCATGTCTGTGATCTCCTCTAATACATTATGGTATGTGACAGTTCTGATGGACCACTGATGGATAAGGCAGCACTGGTGCTGAGGTAGAACAGAGCAAACCCTGCCAGGTCTGTCTGGCAGCACACTGCTCTGCTCTGTCACAGCTCTGTCAGGGATTGAGTAAATTCATGCGTATCCCTCCTGCTCAGGCCTGGAGAACTGCTAATTGCCTTAAGTAGAAGCTTAGAACAGAGAGAAACACTTAGTCTTCTAACAGGTCTAAATCTTATTTACCGTTCTGCTACAAGCTCTTTAATTAAAAAAAAAAAAAAATTCCTAGTAAGAAAAGGCTGTAATCTTCCTGTTCTGAGCCCCAGCCAGATCCCTGGTTAGGTGCAATGCCAGCTCCTAAGTCCCTCACAAGGTAATGCTTGTGATGTGAACGCTGCTTGTTGCAGACAAGCGGTGGTCAGGAACCATCCTCCGTGCAAATAAGCGTGAAGCATTTCCCTGTCCATCCCGGCGCACGAACTGCGGGAAGCAATTTGTTTCGTAGCTGCAGAAGGGGAGCGCGACTATTGCTTGCTTGCTTCCTCCCTGTAGCAAAGCGGTCCCGCGGAACCGCACAGAGCGAGGGCGGGAGAGCCGGCAGAGGGCAGCGCTGTGAGGGAAAGCGGGCGGGATGCTGCGGGCGGACGGAGCACCGAACGCAAATGCGCTGTGCTGGAGCTGAGAACCCGTGATGGCACGGAGATGTCTGAGCAAAAAGGTCGTGAAAGTCTCTGAAAGTACAGCGTGCTGCCTTTGAACTGTGACCCCGTGTCTGTGTAACTATAACTTTGTACACCTAAATAAGCAGAAGGAGGTGAGTAAAATCCTTTCCGAGGGGAAAAAAAAAAAATTAAAAAAATCTCTAAACAAGCGACTAGCTTGCAAAAATAACACTTGTTCACGGTGTGCTGTGGTCAAGCATGCTGCTGGTTCAGCAGCAGCTGATAGCTCCCACCTGTGGGCTGCTGGAGGAGGGTTAATCCTTGCCTGGTTCAGTGAGAGCAGCAGGGGAAAGCTGGCTTCGTTACAATTCAGGAAGGTGTCAAAGGGTGACCTTCATGGGAATGCTTGATGATCTCCCTTAGGCTTGTTTTGTGTGATGCTTACTGAATTGAGTAACATTCTGTAGAAGCTACAGCTTTAAAAGGCGCTATAAAGTGTGCATGCTGTTGTGGTTTCTGCAGTCGTAAGGCTGAAATAAACTCCTGCACAACATTCAGCAAGGATAGAGCAGCTTCTGTATCATTTGTGAAAACGTAGATCCAGATTAGGGTTAGGAGCAGGGCAGTGATGTTTAGGATGAACGTGAAGGCTGTAGCTTAATGTGAGTGAATGTGGTGTCCTTGCTCTTAAGTATTACAAGTCTTGGAAGGCTGGAGCATCTGTGAAAAGGACATGCTTCCACTTATACTCTGAAACCACCTTTCCAATTTGGGATCTTCCTTAGAACTTAAATCTGAGAGTGAATTTGGACCCTATGGGTTCCCTAGGTGTCCATACAATCCACTGTCATTCAGATTAAATCACCTCGTGCTTTATATAATGCCTAAAAAGATTTAACTTCCCAGTAGTTTACATTGTCTTTTCCAAGCACAGGTAAAAGATTCTTTTTTTCTTTTTTTCTTTTCCTGTTGTCTATAATTAACTTCTATATATCACTATATTAACTATGAGTATGTGAGTAGAATTTGTTGTGGGTATTTACATCACAAGCTGTTTCATAATGTCTGTTGTATGGAGCTAAAATATGAAGGTACAGTCATAAGATGCTTAAAGTCATTTTGTTTGTTGAGCATCTTCAGTATCAGAATAATTCAGTATCAGTACGTGTGTGGGGTGCTGATAAGATAAACAGCAATTTTCTGCATTCGTGACTGTAGGGACTCAGCAATGAGACAGCACTTCCCTGGTTCTGCACAAGGCAACCCAAAGGCCAGATGGAAAGGCAGGGAGGAGGTCTGCGAACTCCAGGATGACAAAGCTATCTTTTCATAATAATCACCATCTTTTCTAAAAAAGGAAGACTGGGCATCGCTAAATGGCATCAAAAACTGTATGATCTCAAGCTGGGTTTCTTGGCAGTGCTCAGCCTTAGTATTTCAGTGATGGTGGTTGCAGACTGCACCCTGAGAAGTCCGTGTGATGCTTACAGATGAATTTGTGGAAGTGAGTCAAGGTAGCACTTGAAAATCTTTATTCTAATCATTGAATCTGTATGTAATTAAAAATTGCATGATTAATCTTTGATAAAGTCATAATAGTGTAGCTTGCACTACTTTTTATTAAGAGAACAAGGAGGTTTCCTCTTCCAGACTACAGAGTAAGGATTTCTTATGATCTGTTTCCACTATGCTGGTACTCTTTGCTGATTCTGGCCAGTTTTGCCTATTCAGTTTGAAGATCTTATGCCCCTTCTCATAGGGATTAGTCTATTTTCTGTAAAAGGATAGAGATTTACCAGATATGTTTGCCCAATTTAGATGGTAGATACAGGTAGCTTGGTTTAATGAAGGGGCCTTCTTCAGAAGCCTTTGAGAAGAACATGTTCTGAACAGGGAGTTCCTATTAGTAATGAATGGGAGAATGCCATATTTACATAAACCATGTGGAGAAAATCAGTTTCTTTGCATGGGGACAAACCAATTGTAAAGGTTATGATAAATTAGTCTCATTGTAGACCTTTGTGCAGGTGGGAAGACTGTTCTGACAAGTGAGTTTCATGAGAAGTGAACGAAGCTTGACTTGAGTCACATACTGCCTTGTCCACTTGCCTGTGTAGGTGTGTGTCTGCTGAGTCATAAGGGCTGGAAAGCTATCTTGCCTCCTCAAGAGCAACAAGCCTTACTGATCACCCAGCAAATTTATAAGTAGGTTGCCTACTCTCTGATACACCTGTTCTAACTGCTCCATAATGAGCAGTAACGTTTTTGGGACAAGTCCTCTGACAGTGGCATGCCAAGCAGTGTGTGCTCTGCATTCACCCTGGCTGGCTGGCGCTGCTGAGCTTGTCACCTAATGGCATGCAGCATGACACAGATCCCTCCCGTCTGTCATTTCTGTTTTGTGACCATCCATTGTTCCAGTGGGCTGGGGAAGCAAAACCACAGGTTCCATCAGGTTCTCTCTTTGTAGGCTGGGGAGCTGAAATATTCCTTTTGTTCTCAGGAAACCTGCTTGCATTTGGGAGTAGCAGGATATTACAGAGAAATCAAGCAGCCTCTGCTTTTGTTTGCCTGTAGTGCTAGTGCTGGCAAAATAAAGTCATTTGCTTAGGAAGAATCATGGACTCACTGCTAAGATCAAACTCAGGAAAACATACCTGCTTTTGAAGCACTTTCCACTCAGTGGAACTGAGAAAATAGCCAGGAACCAACTGAAGTTCAGTTTGACAAAAAAAAAAAAAAAAAAGAGGGGGAAATACCTTTTATTTCATCATTATTTTAAATGATGAACAGCAGCACAGCACTGAAGGTACATAAGTAATTCAGTGATTCCCATCTAGGAACACAGTGACTTGACATAGAAATGAAGACTAGTTTGATGTGATTCCAGTGCAGGCAGGTAATTCCAAGCAGCTGGTGTGCATTATCTAAAATGTCATTAAAATCATCAGCTTTAAAGGTACTAGAGACCTAAGTTTTCAAGTGTCCCTGGATGACTTGAATGTAATGTTATGGATCTGAAATGAAAACTTCCTCTAATGGATTTAAACCCATCGCACAGTATTTGATGAGTTGAAGACAAGAGTTTTCAGTATTTTGACAGACATAATGTGAGTGCTTTCAGGCTTACAGGTACGCATTAATAGTAAAACTGAATGAATATCTTCCTTTTGCTTTTCTGTAACTTATATAAAAGAAATTCTGCAATTGTTTTGTCTTCAACCCTTATTTTGGATTTCCTGGGTAAGGAGCATAATCATAATTCCTAAGATTTTTTTCTGTTAAGAGGTTTTATCTGTAATTAACTGCAACTACGGATTCTTAGTACTAAAAGAAAGAAATAAAGATGGAGATTAACTGGAAAAAATATTTGAAAAAAAAAGAGTTACGTGACAATGTGATTTATTTCAAACACTGAACAGATTTGTTAAGGGGGTATTTTTGTCATCTCATGTTTGCAGTAAAACAACAAATGCACTAAGAGCTACCTCCTGCCATCTCTTGAAAGAAAAGGCAATAGTGCCCAACAGAGTGTGTTTCAGCTGCTAACCAGCAGATCTGTCTGTCTTATGTAACTTGATCTTAAACAGCATCGTTATAGAAATAAAGTTTAATATCTGATCTGATTTTGAACTGGTTGTGAAATATGCACAAGAGCAAAGCAATCCATAGAAAAGAAATGGACAGCTGGAAAGACAAAGTAGTAGTTTAGAAGTTGTACTGTTCCTGCTCATTACCTCTAGACACGTGTTGTTAGGATGCCTGTTGTTGAGGAGCTGATATAAGAAACTGCAAGTGATGCTTTTTTGGCAATGCATTTGTTATGTTCTATACACAAATT